GGGGGGGGGGGGGGGGGGGGGGGGGGGAGTGTAGGGAAGGAAGAGGGGGGCTAATGTCAGGGTGTCTCCCTCCCCCCTGCTCCTGCACCCCGCTTACCCCATCTTCCACAGAGCAGGTGGGACACACCAGGGCTGCAGTCTCAGCAAGCTGATCTAATTAACATGGTAATATACTTAAGGGAAATACGTATATCTCCCTCCATTCCTGCTGCCTTGTAGAGTGAGAATTTTAACCCTTGAGGGCTCAGCCAATTGCTAGTTCATCATTTAGCAGGAACGGAAATATCCCACCCTCTGACTCCTCCACCTCAATCAAGCTTCACAATCATCATCACTGTGTACCAGTATTAAATTGTTTGTTTAAAACTTATACTGTGTGTGTCTAATATATATATTCTTTTGTCCAGTGAAAAAAAATTTCCCTGGAACCTAACCGCCTCATTTACATTAATTCTTATGGGGAAACTGGATTCGCTTAACATCGTTTCGCTTAAAGTTGCATTTTTCAGGAACATAAACTACTATGTTAAGTGAGGAGTTACTGTATCTTGTCTCTCTGTGACCAACATGGCTACTACAACACTACAAACAAATTAACAGAAGGCAGGAACAGCACATGGCAGTGGGGGGAGGGACACAGCTGAACTGCAGGCAGCTGCTGCACAGGGAACTTAGGGGAGCTGATAGGTGAAGCTGATAGGGGGCTGCCAGTCCACCCTGGTTCCAAGCCCCCACCAGCTAGCTGCAACGGGCTGCTCTTCCTGCAAGAGTAGACAAAGCAGGCGGCTGCCAAACGACCTTAGAAGGGAGCATTACACAACTTTAAACAAGCATGTTCCCTAATTGATCAGCAACGTAACAACGAAACAACATTAACTGGGACAACTTTAAGTGAGGAGTTACTGTAATAGAAAATGCAAATCAACTAACTACATTTTGCTATAAAGTTTTGTTGGTGGTGAAGTAGGAAAGAAACTAGTTGACAATATTACTTGCTGCCTATACTGCTTGTGTCACAAACAATATCAGTTATCAACAAAACTGTTTCAAAGAGACTCAGGAACATAATGAAGAATTTAAACATTTTTCAATGCTCCTCACCATGTGGACATTCAGAGTGCAGTGCTGAGCACAACTGGTCAGTTATTCTCTTTAAGCATTAAAATATACAAGTGTTTACCTGCATACTTTTTCGTACAACACAGGCCTTTGGCTTTCAACATATTTGCCTTTTACACAAGGTATTTACATAATAAAACACCTTCAGAAAAAGAGCTTACCTTTTTCTGTTTTGATGACAGCCCATTTTCTTTACTATCTGATCCACTAGTTGGAACGTCATTTCCAGTATTGTTAAACATCTTGTCAATCTGTTTAAATTGAAAAAGATTATCCATGAACAATTTTAATTTTTTTTTAAATAAGCCATCATGGTGTTCCACTTGAGAAATTTCAAAGATGTTTGATTAAGGAGAGAAAAGAAACACTGTAGTTATCAGCATTCAAAAGGCACGACACAGGCTTAAATATATGCAAAGCCTTGGAGAGACTGAAGAAATTTACTGACTATATTGCAGAAAGCTTCTGACAGGCGCATCGCATCGCATCTTTGAAATTTCTCAAGTGGAACACCATGATGGCTTATTTAAAAATGGAATCCTTTAAATATGGGATTTAAATCTGAATTCTTCAAAAAATTTTAAATTTTGTAATTTATGATTAAGAAACCAAATATTGTAGAGATAATTTCAAATTTGATTCCTGTGGGTAACCAATGCAAAATATTGTCTCTTACCTGATTACCTGTACTATTAGATTTTGTCTCTTCAGATACGTTCATTTGATTAGTTATATCCAAAGATCTGTAGTACAGAGTACAAATATTACAAAAAGATGGCTCCCAGTCAAAGCAATGACCCTAATTCAGCAAAGTTCATAATTCTAAGAGAATTAACACAGAAGAAAACTTTTCTTATCACAACACTGTTGTATTTAGAGTGAGCGCACATGCATGAGAGACAGCTTAGAAAAGCAACAGAGGGTCCTGTGGCACCTTTGAGACTAACAGAAGTACTGGGAGCATAAGCTTTCGTGGGTAAGAACCTCACTTCTTCAGATGCAAGTAATGGAAATCTCCAGAAGGCAGGGTATATATTCAGT